AGGAGGGCCTGATTATCTACTTCTGAAAAAATTGGAAAAAGAAAACCTTACAAATAGCAGTGGAACATTGTCTGATATAGTGCCAGAAGATGAGCCCCTCAGGTTGGAAGACACTCAAAATATGACTAGGAGCTGCCTCCTCAAAGTAGAGTCGACCTTAATAACATAGATGGAGTCAAGCTTTTGGTACCTTTATTTGCTGATGTGATGCGACTCAAAAAGAGAAGAAACAGCTGCAAACATCCATTACTAATCAGAACATGGAATGCATGACGTATGAACATAGGAAAATTTGAAGTCATCAAAAATGAAATGGAATGCGTAAAGATTGATATCCTAGGTATTGTTGTTGTTGTTGTTAGGTGCTGTCAAGTCGGTTCCAACTCATAGGGACCCTATGTACAACAGAAGGAAACACTGTCTGGTCCTTTGTCATCTTCGCAATCACCATGCTTGAGCCCACTGTTGCAGCCACTGAGTCAGTCTATCTCATTGAGAGTCTTCCTGTTTTTCGTTGACCCTCTACTTTATCAAGCATGATGTCCTTCTCCAGGAGCTGATCCCTCCTGATGACATGTCCAAAGTGTGTGAGGCATAGTCTCTCCATCCTTGCTTCTAAGAAGAATTCTGACCATACTTCTTCCAAGACGGATTTGTTTATTTTTTTGTAGTCAGTGGTATATTCAATATTTTCCACAACACCATAATTCAACAGCATCTATTCTTTTTTGCTCTTCCTTATTCATTGTCCAGCTTCTGCATGCATATGAGGTGGATGAAAACACCATGGCTTGGGTCAGGCACACCTTAGTCTTCATGGTGACATCTTTGCTTTTCAACACTTTAAAGAGGCCTTTTGCAATAGATTTGCCCAATGCAATGTGTCTTTTGATTTCTTGACTGCTGCTTCCATGGGTGTTGATTGTTGATCCAAGTAAAATGAAATCCTTGAGAAGTTCAATCTTTTCTCCATTTATCATGATGTTACTTACTGACCCAGTTGTGAGGATTTTTGTTTTCTTTATGTTAAGGTATAATCCATACTGAAAGCTGTGGTCACTACTTTACTAAGTATTAGTGAGTTAAAATGGGCAGGTATTGGCCAATTTGAATAGGATAATCATATGGTACTCTATGCCGGGAATGACAAAGTGAAGAATGGTGTCCCATTCATCATCAAAAAGGACACTTCAACATCTATCCTGAAGTACAATGCTCTCAGTGATGGGATGATATCCATACGCCTACAAGTAAGATCAGTTAATATGACTATTCAAGTTTACATGCCAACCACTAATGCTTGTCTTTTTAATGTCCTTTTGCCAAAGATGAAGAAATTTATTCTTTTTACCAGCTTCTGCAGTCTGAAATTGATCAAACGTGCAATTAAGATGCATTGATTATTATTGGTGATTGGAATGCAAAAGTTGGAAACAAAGAGGAAAGACTGGCAATTGGAAAATATGGCTTATTGATAGAAATGATGCCAGAGATTGTATGATAGAATTTTGCAAGACCAATGACTTATTCATTGCAAATACCTTTTTTCAATATGAATGGCTACTATACACATGGACATTGCAGGATGAAATACACAGGAATCAAACCAACTACATCTGTGGAAAGAGATGATGGAAAAGCTCAACATCATCAGTCAGAACAAGGCCAGGAGCTGACTGTGGAATAGACCATCAATTGCTCATATGCAAGCTAAAATTGAAACTGAAGAAAATTAGAGCAAGTCCATGAGAGGTAAAATACAACCTTGAGTATATCCCAAATGAATTTAGAAACATCTCAATAATAGATTTGACACACTGAACACTTACGACCGAAGACAAGGAAAATTTGGGAATGACATCAAGGATATCACACATGAAGAACACAAAAGGACATTAAAAAGACAAGAGAAAGAAAGACTAAAATGGATGTCAGATGAGACTCTGAAACTTGTTCTTGATGGTAGAGCAGGTAAAGTAAACGGAAGAAATGATGAGGTAAAAGAGTTGAACAGAAGATTTAAAAGGACGGCTTGAGAAGACACAGGGAACTATTATAATGAAACATTTAAACAGCTGGAGTTAGAAAGCCAAAAGGAAAAATACCGTAGGCATTTCTCAAGCTGAAAGAACTGAAGAAAAAAATTCAGTTTTGAAGGATTCTATAAGCAAAATATTGAAGGACGCAGGAAACATCAAAAGAAGATGGACGGGATACACAGAGTCACTGTACCAAAAAATTGCTTGACATTCAACTATTTCAGGAGGCACCATATACTCAAGAACCGATGGTCTTGAAGGAGGAAGTCTAAGATGCAGTGAAGGCATTCTTGACAAACAAGGCTCCAGGAGTTGACAGAATACCAATGAAGATGTTTCAACAAACAGATGCAGTGGTGAAGGTGCTCACTCATCTATGCCAAGAAACTTGGAAGACAGCTACCTGGCCAACCAACTGGAAGAGATCCATACTTATGCTCATTCCAGACAAAGGTGATCCAACAGAATGTGGAAATTATCTAAAAATATCATTAATATCACACGCAAGCAAAATTTTGCTGAAGATAATTCAAAAGTGGTTGCAGCAGTCCATCCACAGGGAACTACCAGTAATTCAAGCCCCATTCAGAAGAGCTTTTGCAATGAGGGATATCATTGCTGATGTTAGATGGATCTTGGTTGAAAGTAGAGAATATCAGGAAGATGTTTACCTGGGTTTTATTGACTATGCAAAGGCATTCAACTGTGTGGATCATAACAAATTATGGATAACATTGAGAAGAATGGGATTAACAGAACACATAATTGTGCTCAAGTGGACAGAATCTGTACATAAACTAAGAGACAGTCATTCAGACAGAACAATAGCGTACTGTGTGGTTTAAAATCAGGAAAGGTATGCTTCAAAGTTCTATCCTTTCACTGTACTTATTTAATCTGTATGTTGAGCAAATAATCCAAGAAGCTGGACTATATCCAGAAGAATGTGGCATCAGGGTTGGAGGAAAACTCATGAACAACCTGCAATATACAGATGCCACAAGCTTGCCTGCAAAGAGTGAAAAAGACTTAAAGGACTTACTGATGAAGATTAAAGACTACATCCTTCAGAATGGATTCCAGTTCAACATAAAGAAAACAAAAATCCTCACAACTGGACCAATAAGCAACATTATGATAAATGGAGAAAGGTTGGAAGTTGCCAAGGATTTCATTGTAGTTGAATCCACAATCAATGCCACGGAAGCAGCAATCAGGAAATCTAATGAGGTATTGCATTGGTCACATCTTTTACGAAAGACCCTTTTAAACTGTTAAAAAGCAAAGATAAGTGAGGGCTAAGACGCATCTGACCCAAGCCACACCATTTTCAATCATCTTATATGCATGCGAAAGCTGGACAATGAATAAGGAAGACCAAGGAAGAATTGATATCTCTGAATTATGGTGCTGAGGAAGAATATTGAATATACCATGGACTGCCAGAAGAACAAACATATCTGTCTTGTAAGAAGTACAGCGACAATGCTCCTTAGAAAGAAGGATGGCAAGACTTTGTCTGACATACTTTGGACATGTTATCAGGAGGGACCAGTACCTGGAGAAGGACATCATGCTTGGTAAAGTAGAGGGTCAGAAAAAGAAAGGAAGACCTTCAAGGAGATGGATTAACACAGTGGCTATACCGATGGCTGAAGCATAGCAAAGCTTGTGAGAATGGCACAAGACTGGGCAGTGTTTCATTCTATTGTACATAGGGTTGATTTGAGTCAGAATCTACATGACAACACTAACAACAATTAACAACAGTTTCAGGGACAAATAGTGAGCCTTGTGTCATTGAGCATCATATCTGGATAGCATGCCTGAGTCTGTTGCAGCCATCCCTGACCATGAGGATAACCATTCCTAGGATGAATCTACCTCGTTGAAGCTACCCTGCGGAGGTCTGAATTTTTTTGTTTTTTTTTTTTTGTTTCTGCATTCTCTGTCTCTGAAGTTCTTGTGGTGAAAGGGAACTCTATTGTTTATGTATTTTAGAGTCGGAGTTTATATTTTCTTCTTAGAATCAAAGCCTTCCTCACTGATAAGATTCAGTTGTCACACAGTCATCTGAAGCCACCGAGATAATCCAAATATGCTTATTTTATAGATTACTTAGGTGGAAATTATGGTTTAGTGGTAGCATTCTCACCGTCCAATGGGAGACTCAGGTTTGATTTTTGGCCAGTGAATCTCATATGCAGCCACAATCTGTCTGTGGAGCATCGAGTGTTGTTATGTTGCTGAATAGGTTTCTGTGGATTTTCCACATTAAGATGAACTAGGAAGAAAGTCCTGGCAATCTGCTCCCAAAAAATCAGCCAATGAGACCCTATGGATCACAATGATCCTATCCCATTATTCATGGGGTGTCATGCGTCAAGGGCCATCTTGATGGTAGCTAAAAACCACCACCACAACAACAACCACAAAAATAGATGATTAAACTGAGTATGGTGTATGCTAATGTTACCCAGATACGCATGTTTTACCAGTGACATGTCACGGTAATAACTAAATTTGAGCATTAAAAGTCAACTCTCTTGTCTCCCAATGGGATCAAGCCTAGTTTCCATTCACACTACTCTATCCATGTCATCAAGCTGAAGCTAGTCTTAGCTATTCCCACAGGCTTGTCTACATCCTTTCTCTACTTTTCTGCCATCTCCTGTTTTCTTTATTCTGAGAAGGTGCCATCAAAATAAATCAACCCTGCCTCAGGCTCTGCGTCTATGGAACTTTCCCAAAGAGACTCAGCTTAGAGACTTAAAATAATTTGTGAAATAGCACAGAGTGACACAGAGACTAAAGTCAGATTTCAAACCCAAGTTAAATTACACTTAGCCATTTTGTTACATTATTTTAGAAGAACGTGGTAATGAGTTCGGCATTCTGCCTCTCATGTATTCTTTTACTTTGATGCAATCTAGAAAGCCAAGCTGAAAGTAGATAAGATAATCACTGAAAAGCAGGTATGCTCCTGATAATTTTTCTCAATGCCCCCTTCATGTCCCTGTTTCTCAGGCTGTAGATAAAGGGGTTCATCATGGGGGTGACCACAGTGTACATCACTGAAGCTACTGCAGTCTTCTTAGAAGAGTATGTAAATGCAGCACTAACGTATGTACCTAAGCCTGTCCCGTAGAACAAGGAAATAACTGACAGATGAGATCCACAGGTGGAAAAAGCTTTATACTTTCCATCCACTGATGGCATTCTCAAAATGGAGGAGACAATTTGGATATAAGAGAAAATGATTCCAGAGAGAGGAACACCACCTAATATGGTAGCTGCAAAATATGAGAAGATGTTATTGATGAGAGTATCAGAACAGGCAACCTCGATGACCTGAAGAACTTCACAGAAAAAGTAAGGAATTTCCGGGTCTGTGCAGAAGGACAGTTGCAACACCATCAGACTGTGGAAGAGGGCATTCATGATGCTAATGAACAATGACAGTAGAATCAGCAGGCCACAGAGCCGGGTGTTCATGATGACTGTGTACCTCAGTGGGTGACAAATGGCCACATAGCGGTCATAGGCCATTACTCCAAGGAGGAAATTTTCCAAAACACCAAAAATCAGGACAAAGCAGACCTGGACAAGGCAGCCTGCATAAGTGATGCTCGGATTCTGTGCTTGGAGGTTCACCAGCATCTTTGGGATCGTGGCCGTGCTAAAACAGATGTCAGTGAAGGACAGATTGGCAAGAAAGAAATACATGGGAGTGTGGAGATAGGAGTCAAAGGTGACAGCCAGGACAATGAGCAGGTTTCCCAGGACAGTGACCACATACATGGACAGAAACAGGCTAAAGAGGAGGGTCTGCAGTTCTGGATCCTCTGTCAGTGCCAGGAGAAGGAATTCTGAAGTATCTGTTTGATTCTTAGGTTCCATGTTGTTGATGAATATGATGGAAAAGATATGAGAATAAAATGTGTGGTTTCTGGAACAGGATAAACTGCATCACCAGAGGCAAGCATCATCTTAGGAAAGAAGGGAGAGGAATAAAGAGGAAAACAAATGGGGTGTCTTCATTACGTGTATTTTGCTACTTAAACAAATAAACAGATGCTGATATAGCAGAGAATTCTAGAAAGGAGTAAAATGGTGGTTATGGTTTTTGTTTTATTTTTGCACAATCTGCTGGCGTGATCATTTATATATCTGGTAATTTTGTAAAGCCAAACATATAGCCTAAGGAAGTAGCCTAGTGTGTCTGTCTGGGTCTCCATTTCAGAGCCAGACAACAGAGTTAATATGAAGGTGTGTTAACAATCAGAAATGAGAAGATAAGGTGATGGAACACCCCCATAAGAATGCAAGTAAATGTCAGAGAATTCTGTAATAGTCATCCTGTTTGCTCAAGAGTAACATGGTCCCTGCCATTATAGAGAGAGAGAAGGAGACTACCTGAATGAGAGCTGCTTGATCATTGATGCTAAGATACAAGGAAAAATGTCAGGAAGATGGCAGACAGGCAGAAGTCCTATGGTTGACTTGGTTCCAATCATTTCATGCATGTACTCTATTCACAGCTTCACCTAGATGAATCTTGACTAAAACACCTGCCCTTATTTCCAAACATTAGATAAGTGATTTTAAGTTACCTGACTGGCATCACTGAGGAATGATGCATGACATCTGCCCTGGATGGTGAAGTTGGAAGGTATGTCCTCAGGAAAAGCAAAGGGATTGAATGAAGCATGAGGCTTCTGAGCAAGAAAGAGCATTTGTAGACAGAGTCTCAGGTGTGGCTACTTCCTGACTATGGGAGGACTGTTGAGTGAGGTGGTCACAGGCAGACTATTTGCAGTCTCTATATCCCTGGGGGCTCAATATCCAAAGCTCTTCATTAACCATTTTTATTGCCATTCTGATCCCAGGGCAGTGCAAATCTGTAAAGACCAAGACAATAGAAGGCATCCAAATTGGAAAAGAAAAGAAACACTACCTCTGTTCACAAATGACATGACCTTTGTCGTGAACTGAATTGTTTCTCCCCAAAAATGAGTGTATCAATTTGGCTGGGCCATGACTCCCAGTATTGTGTGATTGTCCACCATTTTGTCACCTGATGTGATTTTCTTATGTTTTGTAAATCCTGTTTCTATAACGTTAATGAGGAGAGATGGGTGGCAGTTGTGTTGATGAGGCAGGACTCAATCTATGGGATTGGACTGTGTCTTGAGCCAGTTTCTTTTGGGATATAAAAGAGAGATAGAGGGACTTCATACCACCAAGAAAGCAGAGCTGCGAGCAGAGCACATCCTTTGGACCTGGGGTTCCTACATGGAGAAGCTCCTGGTCCAGGGGAAGATTGATGAGAAGGACCTTTCTCCAGAGCTAACAGAGAGAGAAAGACTTCCCCTGGAGCTGACACCCTGAATTTGGACTTTTAGCCTACTTTACTGTGAGGAAATAAATTTCTCTCTGTCAAAGCCATCCACTTGTGGTATTTCTGTTACAGCAGCTCTAGAAAACTAAGACAACACTACATATGGAAAATCCTGAAGAATCCATAGGAAAGATACTGTGGCTAATAAATGAATTCAATAATGTTGTAGGGTACCTGGACAAAACACAGAAATCATTTTGTTTCTGTACGTCAACCATTAGTGCCCTTAAAAGAAAATTAAGGAAGAAATCCCATCTACAATAGTGTATGAAAGAATAAAATATCTAGGAATAAAATTACTGGAGAGGGAAAGACTTGTACACTGAACACTATAAAACATTGTTGAAAGAAATTCTAACTAAATGGAATAACATCTGTGTTCATGGATTGGAATGTTCAATATTGTTAAGATGTCAATACTACCCAAAGCAAACTACAGATTTAATGACATTCCTGTCAAAATTTCAACAGTGTTTTTGAAGAAATGGAAAATCAGTTCTCTAGTTCATTTAGAACTGCAAGAGACATTGAATAACCAAAACAACCTTGGGAAAGTAGGAGAACTTAAATTTCCTGATTTCAAAAAGTACTATACAACTACCCTAATCAAAACAATGTGGTAATGATATCAGGATATAAATATAGACCAATGGAATAGAATTGAGAGCCTGGAAATAAACCCATACATCTATGGCCAGTTGATTTTTGACAACAGTGCCAAGTCCATTCAGTGGAGAAAGAACAGTCTCTTCAGTAAATAGTGCTAGGACAACTGGACAACTGCAAAAGAGTGAAGTTAGACCCACACCTCACACCATATATAAAAAGTAACTCAAAATGTATCAATAACCTAAACCTAAGAACTAAAACCATAAAAGAAAACAGCAGTAAAACTTAAAGACCTGATTTTGACAATGGATTTTTTTTTTTTTACAGTCTTTCTGGAGCCATGGAAGCTGGATGAGCCCCTGAAACTATCGCCCTGAGATAAACTTTGTTTACTTATTGTGCTTTAGGTGAAGGTTTACAGAACAAACTAGCTTCTCATTAAATGATTAGTACGCATATTGTTCTGTGACATTGGTTGCCAACCCCAAGACATGTCAACATTCTCCCCTTCTTGACCTTGGGTTCCCTATTATCAGCTTTCCTGTACCTTCCTGCCTTCTCGTCCTTGCCCCGGGCGGGTGTGCCTGTTTAGTCTCATTTTGTTTTATGGGCCTGTCTAATCTTTGACTAAAGGGTGACTCTCAAGAGTGACTTCATTCTTGAGCTAAAAGTGTGTCCGGGACCCATGCTCTCGGTATTTCTCCAGTCTCTGTCAGACAAGTAAGTCTGGTCTTTTTTTGTATATGTGCGTGTGAGTTAGAATTTTGTTCTACATTTTTCTTGAGCTTTGTCCAGGACCCTGTATTGTGATCCCTGTCAGAGCAGTCAGTGGTGGTAGCCAGGCACCATCTAGCTGTGCTGGACTCAATCTGGTGGAGGCTATGGTAGTTGTAGTCCATTAGTCCTTTGGAGATATGCAAATGTACAATAAGCACAGGAAAAGATGCTCGACATCATTAGACAAATGCAAATCAAAACCACAATAAGATACCATCTCAGTCCCACTAGGATAGCTATTATGAAAAAAATGAAAAATAACAAATATTGATGAGGATGTGGTGAAACTGGACCCTAAAACCATTGAGAGTGGGAACGTAAAATATCCTGCCACTGTGGAAAACACTGTGGTGATTTCTCAAAAAGTTAAACATAGAACTACCATATGACCCAGCAATTCCATTTTTAGGTATATACACAAGAGATTTGAAAACTGGGACTCAGATAAATGCACATCAATGTTCATTGCAGCATTATTCACAATAACCAAAAGGTGGAAACAAGCCAAGTGTCCATCAACAGATGAATAGATAAATAAAATTTTGTATCTCCATACAATGGAATATTATTCAGCCATAAATAGAAATGAAGTTTTGAACATGGACGAACCTTGGAAATTTAATGCTGAGAGAAATAAGCCAGACAAATATTTCATGATTCCACTTACATGAAATATCTAGAAGAGGCAAATGCATAGAGAACAAAGTTTATTAGTGGTTACCAGGACCTGGGGAGGGAGGGAATATGACTTATTCCTGAAGGGGTACTGAGTTTCTCTTTGGGGTGATGTAAAACTTTTGGAATAGGATAGTGGTGATGGGAGTGCAACATGAATGTGATTAATATCTTTTAATTGTACACTTAAAAGTGGTTAAAATGGCAATCTTTATTATATATATCTTACCACAATAAAAATTATTTAAAACCCACAATGAGATACCACTTCACTCCAACTAGGGTGGCTATACCAAAAATATGGATAATAACATGTCTGGGCTAGGATGTAGAGAAATTGCAACTCTCATTCACTGCTGGTAAGAATGAACATTGTGTGCCATTTTGTAAAACAGTTCGGCAATTCCTAAAAAAATTAAGCATAAGTTACTATATGGCTCAGCAATTACCCTCCTAGGTATATACTCAACATAATTGAAAATATATGTCAACACAAAAACTCATACTCAAATGTTCATAAAATCATTAGTCATAATAGCCAAAAATAGAAACAACCTAGATGTCCATCAACCCATAAAAAACCAAATCCATTGTTGTGGAGTCAATTCTGACACACAGCAACCCTATAGGACAGAGTAGAACTGCCTGATAGGGTTTCCAAGGAGCAGCTGGTGGTCTTGAACTGCTGACCTTTTGGTTAACAGCAGAGATCGTAATCATAATTGAATTTAAAAAATGTAGTGTAGCCAAACAATGGAATGTTATTCAGCCATAAAAAGAAACAAGGGGATACTGCATAGTTTAAAATCAGGAAAGGTGTGGGTCAGGGTTGTATCCTTTCACCAAGATTATTCAGTCAGTACGCTGAGCAAATAATCTGTGAAGCTGGACTGTATGAAGAAGAATGCAACATCAGGATTGGAGGAAGTCTCATTAACAACCTACTTTATGCAGATAACACAACCTTGCTTGTGAAAATAGAACATGACTTGAAGCACTTACTGATGAAGACCAAAGACTACAGTCTTCAGTATGGATTACACCTCAACATTAAGAAAACAAAAATCCTCACAACTGAACCAATAAGTAACATCATGATAAATGGAGAAAAGATGGAAGTTTGTCAAGGATTTCATTTTACTTGGATCCACCATCAATGCCCATGGAAGTAGCAGTCAAGAAATCAAATGATGTATTGCATTGGGTAAATCAGCTGCAAAATACCTCTTTAAAGTGTTAAAAAGCAAAGTTAACACTTTGAGGACTAAGGTGTGCCTGACCCAAGCCATGGTATTTTCAGTCACCTCATACGTATGTGAAAGCTGGACAATGAATAAGGGAGATCAAAGAATTCATACCTTTGAATTATGGTGTTGGTGAAGAATACTGAATATACCATGGACTGCCAGAAGAAGGAACAAATCTGTCGTGGAAGAAGTATAATGAAAATGCTCCTTAGAAGTGAGGATGGAGAGACGTCATCTTACTTTGGACATGTTATCAGGAGGGACAAGGATGTTCTTC